TCTTTTAATTTGGGACACAGGGTATTTCTCTTCCTTGCCTGTTTGGGCACTATATAGGAATTCACATTACATGGTTAGCATTCTGGGTTTCTGAGTTTTAAGAATGAAGGCCTCTCAGATGCCTTGTTTTGTCAATATAATAATGTTCATGTTTTACTTTTTGTGTCATTTAGTTTAGTCTTACTGTTAATAAATATTTGTTTGTCCTGTTGTGTCTGATTTAATACTCTTTCACCAGAGCCATGCCAGAGAACACAGAGCTCATGCGTCTCAAAATTATTCTTACCACAATAATGAATTCTTAATTAACACTTAATTAACTAGACCAGTTTAATAGCGTCTCCCAAATCTTCAGCTGCTGGTAATTTGAAGTGATCTGGAAAACCTGCTGACATACCAGTCCTCTGGGACCAAGACTTCCCAGCCCTGGTATCAAAGCATCAGAGTATCTGAGCTGTTTCCCAGCTTTCTGCATCTTGATCCTCAAGCCTGGTGTCTAGGTCCACAAGGTACAGTATCCATAGAATTCTAAAGAACTGTTTTTTCTTTGTTTTGGGAAAAAAGTATTTTTGCTATACAGCAGATTTGCTCAGGATTGTCAGAGAACAAACTGAAAATATTGAAAGCTGCAAATCCTGTGGGAGAGAACATAGTGTAGGTTTGGAAAAATAAGCTATTTTCCCTTAAAAGCAGCTTTGAAAATTAAGGTGTTACAGTATATGAAGACAATGTGGGCTGAGTTTTAGACAGTAGCAAAAAGCTTTGATAAGTGTCCTTTAATATTCAAAGATTTTTAAAGTTCTCCTAAAGACAACATCACTGGTTCTCAAAGGAGAGCAAAAAATGTTTAGCAAATCATTTGCTATTAATTCATGATCACACATGTACTGTGTGGTATCTACAAAACTGCCATAATTTCTCACTTATCTTATGAGCTTTGACTCCATTGCCATCTCTTGATGTTCACTAGCATACTGGGAAAACCCTGAAACCGGTTAGAGGGGACAGAAGCAGCAGTAGTTTTCCTCTTTTCTCTTTGAGAGTTTCATCATCTTTGAAGGTATCGAGGTTTTGTATTATATTAGACAAAAAAAAGCCATTGCTCCAAACTGAATAAAGACCGAAATATCATTGAAGACATGATTTCCCAGGAGAAATCTTTAACCGGGTGATGTATGACCCACTCTTGCTGCCCAACATAGCTGGAATGAAAAGCGGTGACTAACGTTCCACACCAGTTACTGAACCTGCTTCTGCAGGATATTTCCCAGTAACTTCGTCTTGGGACTCTTCTGTTGTTATTTCACAGGTGGATTCTACAATACACAATTCTATGCTCTTTTTAGACAGAATATATTTTTTAACGTTTGATTATATTTTTAAAAATCATTTATCAAAATCAAATTTTTCTGTGCAATCATCATGTTAGGAATTTATCAAAACTGACTCCCACCTACTATATAACAGTAGTATAAAAGTATAAAAAAATTAAGTTTTTGTATTAGTTTTCCATGTAACTCCCAGCCCGGAGGAAATGTGAAGGAGTTAATTTACATTACATAAGGAGTTAATTTAATTACATTAAAAATAATGGTACTCTTATTAGCTTAATGTTATTATACAGGTTTCAACAGTTTTTTTCTATTTATTAAGCAGTAGAACACTTATGGTAATAATTGTGTTATATTACAGTTACTGAAGCAGAATCTCAAGCTTTTATTGTAATTCTAGTCTTGCCCTCTTCACATTTTAAGTCGCCTTTTAAAATTGGCCCCAAGCAAGCAGGCTTCAGAGTTTCATCTGATCATCACATCAGGAAAGAAAACTGTTGGGTGATATCCAGAGGAACCATCCCTTGTTTCAAATCAGACAGCAAGTCTGAATCCCTAATCGCCGACTACGAATCTTCCGAACGAGAAAAGGATGCTCAGCTCACGAAATATCATTTGCTCTCTGCAAGTGCACAAACCAGCAATTATAACATGACTCCGTGCGTATCGAATACAAACCTATAAATTAAATGGAATCATCTGCCTTTTGTCAACAGAAGACTCTTTGCAATTGCAGACTGCTCATTTCATTGCACATGTTATTTTCTTTAATGGTACCTTTGCTGTAGCTTCTTTATGCAGTAGCACGGTGAGGAGAACATGCAGAACAGTATTGTAGCTGCAAACAGTAGCGCAACATGAAATCAGCATCATCAGTGGAATTGGTTTTTAATTACTCCGCACATTAATTATTTAAGACCAATAGATTGTGCCTCTAACTGGTCTGCGATGTGGTCTTCACCCCCATATGGTCCCGAGGTGGCATGTTCTCAGCAATTCCAGCTTGGTAATTTTCTTCCCAGATTGCTGTGCTAGGGTGTGACACGGTTGGGAACATTATTAGTGTCACGAACACGGACTGGAATCCGTGTCAGATCTTGTAGAAGACCCTATGTGATGCGGTAAGAGCTGGAGAAAACAGGAGGCACGGTAAAAGCGAACACACAGGGGTTTAATAGTGCACAAAATAATAGTGACAGTCCGAGACAGTGTATGGGGGAGACAAAACGGCATCCAAATCCAAACGGGTCCAAGGGCAGGTCAAAACACAGTCCGAGAGTCCATCAACAAGGAATCCATCCTGGTACGCGACAAAGTTAAAATCCCCGGGAGGTGGGAGCACACGGACAGACAAAACATGGAGGTCCAGGGGTGACGGGGCGAGATCCTCCAGACCCCGGGCTCAGGAAGCGGGAGGTGTCGGGGATGAGGCCTATGCCCTCAAGAGACGGACGTAGGGTTTACTGGTGCCAGGCGGGCCTCGCGACATCTTACCCTTATGATGAGCCCCGAGGACTGGAGGAGCTGGTCTTGAAATAATAACGCTAAGAGGGCACATATAACACCCGATAACACCAAGTGTCCCATGGAAGTGGTTTTATTTTTCCAGATTGCTGTGTCCAGGTTGCTGCGTTAAAGCAGGAATATCCATACCTGACTGTACATTGGTCAGGAATGTTTCCAAACCAGTCTCCCGTAGATTATAGGCACATGTCCCCAGATCTTGAGGCCCGGAATCCTTCTGGTTTCCTAGGTCTTGATTAAATCCAGACCTGCAGCCTTAGAAAGAGTTAAATTAGTCCCATTAAGATAGGGTCCAGCTCATTTAGGTGACTACAAGAAATGGGAGGAAAGCATGCAAACACTGTGGTCCCGCAGGACTGGAGTTGAGCACCACTGATGCAGAACGTAACTGGGGCATCCTTAGTAGACACCATCAACAGTATCGGCTCCACCCCAAGATACCACCGGAGGCATAGCCTCAGAGTCCTTAAATAGTGCTGCACTGACTCATCAGAGTCACAGCACACAGCTGCCAAGCCTGCCTTGTTGCCGACAGTGACTCATCTGTATCACATTAGCAATGTTGTGAGAAATAACTGTTATCATGCATTTTAAAATTGAGAGTCACACTGACAGTGTTCAATTGTTTCAGCGTGATAGATCTCATCTAATTTAGCCTAAGTGAATTGAATTCAGATGTTGATGGTTGAGGTGTCCTGACCATGTTTTGGAGGCTAGTCTGTCGCTAGTTGGCTGAGCTCCTACATTAAGCAGCCCTGTGAGCAGGGGTCAGGGTCAGAGTCAGACCATGCTTGCACAGTACCTGGAGGGTTGAGGGTCCCAGTTGTGCCACCCTGGTGTTGTACCCTTGAACAAGGTGCCTCTCTTGAATTGATCTAGGAAAATACCCCCCTGTATGAACATATGCTGTTTCAAATAAATGATGAAGATGCTTGTCATTTGTCAGTGTTCTTTCAATTATTTAGGAGATTTCCAAGAGCAATATTCCCAAACCAGCCTCAGTCCATTATACCACCTCAAGCTTGATAAACTTCTGAACATTCACTGTTTGCTGTTCTATGGGCATAAATTCTACACACGAACCTCAAAAGTTCAGGCTTGATCAGCAATATGTGACACTTTCTCATAATCTCCTGCTGTTCATTTTCTAGGTTCTGTTTCTCATTTGAGCCTTTTTTGCTTTATTACCTTGCTAATTACCAGTTAATCTACCAATTAATAGCAATTACCAATGTATTCAGGTCTTCACTCATTGATGTTTATAGTCAGGTGTCTGAATCTGCTGTTAAACTGGGAATTCCCAGAGATGTTCAGTGGCTAAACTGACTGTGTGCTTACTCAGGGAGACAAATTATAAGGAAAATAAATGTGTTTAGTAAAAACGTTTGTTCAGTATTACAATAAATATGAAATCCCAAAACAAAGGGTCTTGTTTAAAATATGGACATTTATTTGAGTAGTGGAATCTTCTATTGCTCTTCGATATACAAGTAAACGGGACATGTTACCTGCCTAAAATGTTATTTGGGCAGAGTTCCCTATACTCTGCCTGTGATATTACTATTGTAATATTTTCCTGTAATTAACCTCCACACCAGAATTTCTGAACTAGTGGTACATACAGTATATGTATATAGTGTAAGATGTATATATACTGTAGTAGTTCAGGTGGGGAGCTGCATCAGCATGCATAGTCTGCAAAGGAACAAGTAATAGGTTTATTCCCTGCTGAATAGAGAATAGAGAAAATACAACATTTAGTCTGGGAAGGTTTCATAGGCAAAACGTTGAATTTTCTCTCTTCTTATATACTGTAGTATATGTATGTTCTACATACAGTATATGAATTCATACAGTTATACAGTATATAAAAATCATTTTCTCAGGAGCTGCTGTATTTGCCGGTACTTTGTTAAATTTGTTCCCGTCAAAAGGAGTGCATGCCCCCAGTACATACAGTAGTTCTGATAATTATACAGTATATGCCTTGACATCCACCCATTTTCTAACCGCTTCATCCAATACAGATGTCCTGACATGCAACCAAAGCATGGCTCATTTTAGCTGACCTTTATAAACTACAATACCCACAATTCTCCAACAGACGCAACTTATTGGACGATACTGTAACCAGTCAGGAGCAAGGGATGTGTGTACATGAGCATCTTTAAACATGGCGTCTGCAAAGCAAGGATATTGTGTTCACCTGCTAATAACATGCCTCTTTTTCTTGATACTATGTGTTCATTTAGGAGGAGGACAGAAGAAGAAAGAGGTACAGACAGATGTTTTGTTTTTCCGTATGTTTTAAAAATAATAAAAGGGAATAGCAAATAGCACCACCCTTATTCATTGTGATACTGATGCTGAGTGATATGCAATGACGGTGTTTTATTTTATTTCACTCCTTTATCGCCATTAATATGTCCACTGTTCTTCCACAGAATTGTTCGCTTCTGTTTCATTTTTAAATCTCCGTGACACAAGTACTGCATTTTGTAGGCCTGTGCTCTATCTTTACACAGCAGTTGTGTTCGGAAAAACTAAAGATAGATCCACGAGCTTTGTTACAAAACAAAGCCCTGTTTAAAGCATTGCATTAAATCTTTGGGTGGCAAAAAAAATATTAATCTCTAAGCATAACCAAAGCCTGAGCCCATGCTGATAAAATATTCATTTGCTGACTGCTAGACCTTGTGGGTTAACTTACTGTAAATATGGACGCTTTCCTAGTTTGCATTGAAATAAAAATCATAATTCCTGTGTATGCTAAGAAAAGAGAAATGAAGAATCTCACAGTGATGCTGCAATCTAAGGTGTTGACAGCTTTTGTCAACATTTTGCTGGTGTACTGAAGTTTGAAGTTGGTTGTTTTTCAAGGATATTCGTGGTTGTGCTGTATGTAAAATGCTCCCTATTAACCATTTAATTAGAGAATGCTTTGCATGAAGCACTGTGCTTTTTTATGCTCTTATCCTTAGCAAAGGTCCTGATATTTCCAAATTTGTGTCCTCTTGCATTGTGGTCAAACCTGAAAGCTGGTGTATTCTACAGCCTTTAGTGTCAGCTGAACGTGGGGGAAACGAATTACAATTGCAAGGACAAAACAAAAGACAATGATACGTTTACTGCATGTATGTTGAACATTCATTTTTTTAAGAAGGCAAATAAGATAAATAAATCCATCCTTTTTTTAAAAAAAACGTATACAAACATAAACATAAATTATGGCTGTTATACTCATCTTAACATCCACAGGTAATGTGTGCAGTTACCGTTTTATGTGATAAAGAAAACTGAATAGGGTGCATATCTTGTGTATTTTGTATTGTTGTCATTCTGTAAAGTGCTTTGAGAAGCCACCTTTAAAGGCACTATATAAAGTAAAGTTTATTATTATTATAATTGCATAGTTTTATCCATAAAAGCCTAATATACCGTAGCCCATATCACCAGTTAGGGATTTTAAAATGCACAGATGTTACTGTATTTCAGATCATCAGAAGGTGCTTTTTCTAGTTATCTGTGACTGATTCTGAAAACAAGGGGACTGGGAAGATAAGGGAGAAGGAAGGGATTTTTATCTTGAAATGTTGTGCATTTTAACAGGTTCATCCGCATGCTTCGAGCGTTGCTTGACAGTCCCAGTTCGGAATAGTTATTTCCATATGGAACATAACATCCTATTGCACTGCTTTCACCTGCTCCATCTTCTCATCTCTGCTACAGATGCTCCATGCTGAGAGCAGGCTTAGTGTTTAGACACCTGATATATTCTGTCTGGCAGTTAAATACTGTCTTGAAAACACCTCCATGATTGATGTTTTAATTTAGAGCTTTTCCATGTGTAGTATGGTAAGCAGCAATTGAGGGAATGCAATAAATTTATTATTATGCTTTCCACTGAAGCAGTGGGGGTCTTGCAGAGGGAGTGATGAACCTTAATGAAAATTATTTGCGGCAGGTCTGTTTCCTTACGCTTTCAACAGCTTTTTACTCAGTTCTCAAGACTCAAGTTGCAGTATTCTTTCTGAAATAAGTAGAAATAACATGTGAAAGGCGTAAGACTAATAAAAAATAACTTGAAGGGCAAATAGCATTCATCTGATATCATTTGATACAGTATTTTCTTTCCATTTGGCATTCTTAGTAGCACAGTTTCTCCTTGTCAAGAGATGTTTTTGGTTTGTCTGCTCACTGAAGCCACGTATGCCTAAGCATATAAACTTTGTTTTGTCTTTTAGAATGCACTTTGTCATAGGCAGAGGGCTGCCTGAGTTCACTTTAATCATTTTTCCAATGGGAAAAAAAAATCCAACAACCCACTCTTTCCACACCATGTTCTCTGTGTCTTGAGATATGTAAATTAGGACACAAGGTAAAAAAAGACTACTGAACATCAGGGACTGAAAGGACAGTTCAATATCTGCTTCCAAGAAAATATAATCTTTTAGTGACCTCTGTAGATGCCCCAAGTCTCTGCGGGGAAGTGGAGGGGCAGGATATTGAATTGAAATGTGATAAAGCAGTGAAGCAGCACTTTAAATTTTGCTTCCCCTTGGTTGCCATCACCTTTGTGAGTTCCCAATACTCATAACTGGAGAGTCCTGGGACCTGCAGGATGAGAGACAGTCTCTTTGCATTCGAATGTTTTTGCTGTTTTCCATAAAAGGCGGTGTCAGCGATGGAGTAAAGTGCTTTTCATGGTGGGAAAAAATCATTTAGGCACCTTTAATTCTAGGCTTTTTAAAAAGTCAAGACAGTTGTGTGCCTGATTTGTATTAAAAAAAAAAAGTTCCAGTAATTTACCAGGAAACTTTTATAATTATGTAATATAATAATGTTTCCTTATTAGCCTTATACAATTTCTTGCATTAGGAATTTGTCTTTTCACATACCCCAGCTTTTCTCCATGAGGACACAGACACACAGACAGGGAGAGAAGCTTAGGGTCAGAGCGCAGGGTCAGCCATTGTACGGCACCCCTGGAGCAGCTGGGGTGAAGGGCCTTGCTCAGGGGCCCAATGGAGTAGGATCCCTCTGCCAGCTGCGGGATTTGAACCGGCAACCTTCCAGTCACAGGCGCAGATCCTGAGCCACAGAGCCACCTCTCCACCCAAGATGCAGCTTGTCGTTTACTCAAAAGAAGAATTTCTAATTATAGATAATATAATTAAAGATAATAAGTTATCTTGTCCCTGTTATGAAGTTTTACTTTTTTAATCCACAACACTCGCCCCTTCTGTTAGTTTCAGAGACGGGTGATTGTGGTTTGAGTGAGTGGCAAGTGGTTTTATTTTGGTGCAGCAGACCCAAATTTAAGAACATAATACGTGAAGATATTGTCGCTGGTATACTTCAATTGATTATTCTGACTTTCATACTATTGCTATATAAATGTACAATAATTAATATTTCCTACTTTGATATCCCTAATTAATGTTGTGCTGCTACACCTTTGAGAACATTTAAAGGTGTTAATTAATGTGTTGATCCCAAAGGAACTTACTTCATGTTGTGTTGTTTCAGAAAGGCACCAAACGTCAGGATTAACATGCCTGCTTGTCTTGGACGTTGTTCATTGTAATGTACACCTTTGGTCTGTAGGGGAACTTTATTATTTCCAGTTCAGTAGTTTTCCCTCAGTAATAGCAGGTAAGTGTAGCTTTGGTAAGGCATACTGATATCTTAGATTTCAGGTTTAAAATGCATGTTTAAGTGGGGCTGACTGTATGATGAAGTCATCTGACCTTGAGGCTTGTTCGGTTTTCACCAGTGGACCGCCCGTGACAGCAAAAAGACTAAAAGCTTAGTTGGTGTCTGCAAAATGGAATTAAAGACAGATTGTTCTGATCTGAGTTTCTTTGTTTCCTGTAAATGGGATTTGTATTACTTGCAGGGCAGTTTCTTGTATAAAAGCAATTAATTTAGTTCGGAAAATTGATGAATGCAATCTTTTCATCTGTATGGTCAAAAAAAGAACTCAAGAGTGTTTAAAAGAATTATAAGGTTGAAGATTCTAGTGAGCTGTCAAGCTTTATTTTACATGTACTGTAGAGTTTTGTTAGGCTATGAGCAACATTCTTACAAAAACAGTGATGCAGTGATGGTCTAAAATGCTGCTGATGAAATATAACCAGATTATGAGACATTACGATTTTCAGTGTCTGTGGGTTGCCAAAGCTGATAGACTTTACTGCTTTATTAAAGGTGCTTCTCTTTCCTGTGTGAACAGTAAAAAGAGAGAATGTTAAAGCATTTGCAAGCTGTTTTAATGTTTAATAGTTTCAGGTCTGGTTCTGGCTAAATCTATAAAGTTTTTATACAGCAAACAGAAAGCAGTAATTAGGAGGTAAACGAGAAGAGTTTTTTTATGCTTTCCTTTTCTCTCGATTAATGGTTTTTATAATGGTAAAGTTAAAAAAAAGGTCAAAGGTCAACAGTTTTCTGAATTACTGCTTTTTTGCCGTTTTAATGTGTCAGATGATAGACTCATGGAATTCTTATTTAGAGAGCTTAAGTCTTGTCTTTATTCTCATCCAACCTGCAGAAGCTTGCAAACCAATTTTTGTTACCCAGTAAAGTAAATGAAAACTTTATATGGAGTGATAAGTCTTGGCATTTAATTTGTTGGGAATTTGCTCACTCATTTACAGCAGCATACTAAACACCCACCAAATGTCTGTTTGGTCTTGTTAGACAAGCAAACAGATTGAAATAGTTTTGTAATCTGGGGTTCTGGATCTGTTTTTGTGCATAGTAGCCTTTGACCAGTGGCATTCACCTTAAAGAATTTGCTGTACTTCTCTGTGCTCATCACTATTTCAGGTGACTTGTAATCAAAACGTAAAACCATGAATAGGTTGAAGTGTGCCATTAATTCATGGGATGTGAGCTGATGTGCATTTTCCTTGCTCTGACACATTAGCTGTAATCATTAATGATTTTTTTTAGTTCAGGTAAGCTGTTATGATTGTAGTTTTTAAAGGATTTGGTCTGTGCATTCTGTGCTTTAAATTCAAGGTTTTTAATTATAGAATTATCACCCCTTATTTTTTTACATCCAATTCATCTACACATTATATCAACATTATAGTTCTGTTTCTGATGAAGAAAAACAAGAGTTGTGAACACATTGCTCACATTCACTAGGTCTTTAAATATACATCCTTTCTTTATCATGTTTTTATTTAGTATAAGACTTATCCTTATGAATGATATGAGTTCTTAAAATGAAGTAGCTGTTTGTTTCATTTAGAAACTGGCATTGTTATG